CCGCCACCGCCACCTGCCGGGGCCCGCGGCGCCCGCCCGGCCAGGCCCGGTACCGGGCACGGGGGAAGCCGCCCGCGACGTGGCCCCCCACTGCGCGACGTCCCCGAGAGCAGGGGAAGAGCCGGAGCCGTCACCTCGTCCTCGCCTTTCCTAGCTCGGGCCACGCTCCTTGCTCTGCTCTCCGGATCATGCTTCCTGCAGGAAGGTTTCAGCTCCCTTTCCAGTAGCACTCGGAAGACTGAGCAATTTTTTTTTTCTCCTGTTTCTTTTTTCGTGCAGCTTTTTGTGCTACTCACCGGCATCATCCAAGTGTTAATCCCTGAGGACAGATGATTTCTCATATTGGGAATAAGCAAGAGGCAGGATGGAAGAGGGAGCTGCAGCAGGAGACGCAGCTGGGTGGTGGACATTTGGGATGCACTTTAGCAAGGAGACTCATTAAGTCCTGGAGCAACCCACAGAATGAGTCTCAGCCCATGCTGACCGTGAAGATCCACCCTGCCCTGCAGAGAGCTTCTTCACTGCTCTCCAGCTGTTGAAGGGTCTCCATCCTCAGCGAGTTTTTAAGACCAGCGTCTTCTGCTCAGTGCACGTGTCACCAGGCTCACCGAGATGCTACTCAGCACCCAACCTGCCAAACCTCAGGCTGTGCTTGAGAAAGGAGCTGTGCAGCTGCCAGGATATGGCCCTGCTGAAGCGGGGCACCCATGGGCATCACCACCCTTGGAGGAGGACATAGAGCCAAGCCATGATGGCCTAATCGACTGGTTCATTTTAAAGCCAACAATAAAAGCAGTTGGCACGATAAAAACTCCCCTCTTATCACCGTGCCAGTTCCAGTAAAGAAGGCACAGTGCTTGCGATTAGAGACTGGAGGGTTTAATTGAGGACAAGGAAAAGGCAAAGACAGGGGAGCAGGAGTTGCTTATCTAATGCAAGCAGTGTGGGCTTCCATGAGAAAAATCACTGGATCTGTTTATCTGGAGGCCATGAGGAAGAGGAGGAGGCAAAGAGCTAAGAGCCCAGCAAGAGGACAGTCCAAAGGAACCTGGGATCCTTGCTTCCCCTCAGAGGCCACAAAGGAGCCACTTCAGCTTTGGTTTTCCAACAATATTGACCAATTCTGTCTCCTAGACTGCTTTCTCTTCCTCTTCCCCATCCTTCCACTGGGGTGACTTTTCACCCCAGATTCCTGATCTCCAACTGGCATGGGTTGATCTCCAGGTCCCCAGGTTCTGCTCCACGCAGGTTGGCAGCAGTGACCACCTAGGAGATCACCAACCCTTTATAAGTGCACCCCAGGGAGGCCTTCTGCTGACAAGGGGCTGTTTAGCCTCAACAATGTTAATATTAATCTGCTTATCTGCCCAGTGCTGTAAAACACTCATCTCCACAAAAAAAAAAAAAAAAAAGAAAAAAACTCTGCTCTTTCTTTCTATCTGCACTTGCTTATTGCAGGCCTTATCAGGAGCCCCAGCCGTAACTGAGGGCAGCAAAGTCACGCAATGGCTCCAGCAAACGGAGCCTCTGGTCCTACAGCAGGGATCAGCATCGTGTATTCACACGCGGCTTCAGGGAGGGCTGAAGCTGCAGGGGAAGCAGCTCTCTGCAAGGTTGCTGGACCAAGTCCATGAGAGCCTCTGCGTGTGTGGGGATGGTATGACATCCCATTCCCTGCCAGTCCTGGCTCTCTCTGCGCCAATGGATTAATCACCGAAACCCAGACCCATCTCCAGGATGCTGGCTTTGAGATGGCCCTTGTAGCAAGGGGCTTTGTGATTCTAGGTCCCTGTGCAGGTAGAGGAGATGTTTTTCAGCTAATGAGTCTCATACCTTGCATTAAACCATCCCTCCACATGTCCTCCAAGGCCCCTGAAGGGCAGGTGGAATATGCCATAGCTCAGACCTGGCTCTCAGATTGTGGTTGGGACCTCTCTGTCCTCACCCTTGTTTTTCCAGCAGTATCTGCACTGTGAAATTGACTGGTGAGGATGTCACTAGATGAGGCTACGCAGGCTGGTTAAATGCACTTGGGTGGGCCTGAGGTTGTATCGTTTCAATATTTCATCATAAAATGGTGGTGACCTCAGATCCAAGGGACCCTGTCTCTTTCAGCAAACTTAAAGTGACAGCATCAATACCTTTATTCAACCACCCATCAGTGGAGAGCACAGCAGATGGACCTGTCCACACCTGAACTCCAATTCTACTGCCTCGTCGTCTTCTACAGCTATTACTGAAGACCAGGCAGCACCTGGATAGAGGGGGACAGAGAGCTACTCCTTTTCATTTAGACTTGTTTAATGCGTCTGAACACCTCCCCTTCCTTGCTGGAATCTCCCCGAGTTCTTGGGTAATCCTCTTCGCCATTTCCTTCCCCAGCATGCCATTTCATTTCTCTCTCTTCTTGGAAGTTTTTGTGCAATACATGATGAGTGATTGGTATTCGGCCCTGAAACAAGCTCTTATTGGTCAGGGTCTGTGGTTATGGTTGAGCAGATGCAACCCATGGGATCAGATTCAAGAGCTGTGCGTGCTGCACTGAATGCTTATGCTTGTTCTTGTATTGTTGTCTGCCAGTTATTGGGTTGGCTAGGATATCTTTGCGTGCAAGCAAACAACTAGTAGTACTGGGACAAGCAGATGAGGCGTCTGGCTCTACTGGCATGGGTTGACTGAGAGCCAAAGTAAACTCATGGGTTTGAGCTGGAGAAGGTCTTGTTTTCCTGTGAAAACACTGTTGCCTCATCCAGGAATGCTAGCAGCCTGACTTTCTTGGCAAACAGGGACTGTCTGCTCTCTGCTCATAGGCCATCTGACCCCCAAAGACTATAAAACTCACAGCAGGTACACCGTGGAACTGATGGCTATCACAGTCACGGTGAGACACAAACATCTGGTTACCGCAGCGGTGGGCAGTCCCCTTCCTCTTGCCCTGCTTTTAGGGTGGACTCATCTTCTACCCCATCCTAAGCCCTGTTTTTCCTTCCCAAGTGAGATCAGCAGCTCAGGCCATAGGTTCGCACATCTCAAGGGAGGCTCATTCTTTTGGGAGTATTTCAAGGGTCATTTATCCTTCAGATATTAAAGAGTGATATGAAAGAAATAACTGGCCAATGATATTCAGACAGAAATTCAGCAGTCAGTCTGGTTTTGAGCACATTTTGCTTCCCCATAGCAAGATGGTCCACACACCCCATAAAATGTGCTTTGTGATGCTAGGACTAGTAGTGATGGAATATCCACCACCAAAAATGCTTCCCATTGAAAAATTCAAGAAATGCTAGAAAGTGAGCAAGATAAAAGGTGGGATCTTCAGTGGATTCACTTTATTAGATGGCCTCCAGGGCGTTCTACCAGACCAGGCTTTTGCCCCACCTGGCAATTGCCAGGGCAGTGGATAAGCCCACAGCTCAGCTCGAGCTCTTCAGGGGGAAACGCAGCTTGGTCTGGAAGTGCTCACATCTTTTGTGCTTCATTGACAGACCATAGAGAGGTGTCATGTCCACCTTCCTGCCATCACGAACGCTGAATTCCAGCCGCTGGAGCAGGGTGGACAAGAAAAGGAAGACCTGCCATTTGGCAATGGTCTCCCCAAGGCACCTCCTTTTCCCCAGGCCAAAAGACACAACTTTCTCTGCCTCCAATTTGTTCACTTCAGTCCCATCAGCATTGAGGAAGCGCTCTGGGTTGAAAGCCATTGGATCCTTCCAAAGTTTCCTAGAATGGAAAATATCAGATCTGAGAGTGATGTGTCTCCTGCCCCTGGGAACAGAGGGCACTGGAAGGTGGCAGCTTAGGGAAGTCAGGCGGAGTTGTCGGTTATGATATCCCTGAAGACAGCAATGCCTTACATCTTTCTCTTCTTTGAATGTCAAAGTTGGTTCACTCCACTTCTGCACATAAAGGTCGCTATGGGAGCACCACTTCTCATCTCTTAATACTTAGATCCCATATCACTTCTCCTTACAGCCCCCACTTTGACCCAACTGTCTTTTCCAGCTTCCTTAAGTTGGGAATTCACTGTCCCACTTGTGCTGTCTCCTGAATAACCCTTGCTTTCCCTATCTGAAGAGAGGGCTCCAAAGGGGCTGGTATTTTGAGTACCTTGTCCAGGGCTGAGGTGACCACGGAAAAGGTTTCAGTGTACATTGCTGCAGGACGCTTGCTGCTTCTGGAGCTACTTACTCATCGTGATTCACTTGCCACTGATTGACAAACACACAGCGATCCTTCGGTATGTAGTAGCCGTTCAGCACGGTGTCCTTGGTTGTGCTGAAGAGAGAGAAGATGACTGAGGATTTAGAAACCAAAGAGGTTCTTCTGCATCCTCTGTGGGTGTGTTCTTTGATGCTGATTGTGTAGAGATGTGGCTCAAAGGTGGCTTTATAAGAGGCAGTTGCATTTTCCATGAGCTGGACTGTGCAACCCTTGCCTAAGCTGGTTGGAGTATCTACAGCAGAGTCAACGAAGGGTAAGCGTTGCTCTATGGGAGCTACTAGGTGGGCCCCCATAAGAACTCTGAGCTCCCCCAGCCCATTATGTAGCCATTCCTCTATAAACTGATAGTATGGTCACTGTCTGGATGGTAGTAACATGATGTCTATACATCAGTAAATCCAGACTGTCCCTTCACCTCCTTCGCAACCCCAGCACTTGCCTGTGCGGGATGGTGAAGGGCAGGAAGGAAGAGTGCCGGAACATCTCCAGGATGAAGGCTTCTGTGTAGGGCAGTGTGCCTCGGTCAGAGAGCCTCGGTCTCCTCTCCTGGCCAATGGTCTGATCTGCAGGTGGTCAAGAGGAAGAAGCTGGTTGGAGTCAGCTTTTGACAGAGACAGTTCAGCCCTGGAGCAAATGGACCCATGAGCTCACCTAGCTCTTCCTGGATCCTCTTCTGGATGTCAGGGTGCGTCACAAGATACATGAGACTCCAGGAAAGGGCAGTTGTGACAGTGTCAAAGCCTGGTCAAAGAGGAAAGAATATATAGACCAGGCCTGTATAACAGGCAGGGCACGTGCTGTGAATTGCTAGCATGTGTAGCAGCCTTGCATGTCCAAGAAAGCAGAGGATATCCTGGTCACACAGTAAGGTTTGGGGAGTTTATCCTGTTACAGAAAGATTTGCCAAGAAATACTCATGGGCTCTGTTCTGCACTGAGTCATCCTGTTTCAGTCCTGCCATATGTCTATTTTACCTTGCATAAGTCCTTTGGAATCAGGAAAAGTTCCTCAGGGTAACCCAAAGAGGAACCAGGCCCAGCGATTACACCTCACCTCTATCTCATGGCTCTAAGGAGCCTCATTTATCCTGATTGCTTTTCTTGCTGTAGTCTCCTCCTCTAACATTTACTGAAATGTGTGAAATCAGCTTCGTCTAGTTCTGATAGGAACTGAGGAGGTCTAAGACATGCAGGAGAAGGAGCTAGGACCCACCCAAGATGTGAAACATTAACCAATATCTCTCCTAGGAAAAACCCTTGTGGTCTATGAAGTTTTACTGAACCATGGACCATGCCCTTCATTATTCCCTAAAACATCTCTCCAAAGCTACTTTCCCATGCTGGTCTCTGGGGTTGTCTCTGGAAGAACCATCGAAGACCCGAGACCAAGAGTCTCCGAGTTCAGACCCAAGCTGGCTCTCTGGTGTTGGACACAAGGAAGCACCGAGCTGCAACATGAGGAACCTGAGAGTATCTGCAGTAGCTGAGGGACCGGTGGGGAAGTTACCAGCTCCGAAGAGGTCATTCACAAGGTTGACAATTTTTTCCTTAGGGATCTGTTTGGCAAAATTTACTTCCATTTTTTTCTCCAGGCATTGGTCAATCAGGGAGTCAGTGACATCTCGGATGTTGTTCTGAAAGGAGGAGAAGACAAGTCACATCAACCCAGGAGGACTGGGGTTTTAGTGAGCAGCCACCTGCAATTCCCTTCTGGGGAAACCACAGCAGCACCTGGGCTCTAGAGGATATAGACATCTCTGCTGCTTTGTCTATACTGTTTTTCCAAGCTATGACAATGAGGAGATGGACAGCTGAAACTACAAAATATCACAATAGCTTTCTTGGAAAACAGAAGAGAGATGACTCTGCCGCCCTAACGAGAGAAGCTGCTTATTAGAGGAACGCAACCAAAATGGATTTTTGATGGTGCCTTCAAAAAGGGCACCTTTTCAGCCTTCATGGTTGAAAAGGGCAACAGGTTCAGTTCCCAGAGGTGACAAATGTGCATTTTGCTATTGTGGGGAACAGCAGCATCAGTTTTGGTCAACTGTCACCATGGGTTTTTTGTTTTTATTTTTTTCTCAATCCATGCAGAAATTACTTAGAAACTTTTCAGTCTTTCTTGATCTGCATCTCCTTCAAGTCCTTCCAGAAAAGCAGAGTGCACCATGGAATCAAGGAGTGTCAGCCTCCTGGCACTACTTGCTTAGCAGTTTTTAGAAAGGATCCTTCAGTGATCCATGGACCATGGGGTCTAAACCTAACCCAGCCTATGTGCTTGAGGAGCATGGGCGGGAACAGTCCGGACCAGGGAGGGCCAGCGCAGGAGGAGGGCGGTGCCTTTCAGCAGAGCTCCACAGCCTGATCTTGGCACTGCAGGGCACATGTGGCAGGTGATTCTGTTGAAAGGTCAGAAGTCCAACCAGCAAAATGCCCCTATCTCACAGGGCCATGGAGGAGGAGAACCACAGTGCTGGACTGCACATGCATGAGGCTTTGGGTGAGTGAGACTACAACAGGACAAGCCTAAGGAATTCTTCCGAAGTGTACATAAGAATTTAGATGCCCTTTCATTTAGCATGGGTCCGCTTGACTGCAAGTGGAAAAACAACTCATTAATGCAGGATGGTGGAGAGTAGGATCTCAGCCCTGGTGTGGTAAGGATCCTGCAAGCTCTTACCTTGTCAAAGGTCTCGTAGTGGTCTTTGACAATTTTCTGCAGGAAATGAATGAATCGCTGATTGAAATCCTTAAATAAATCCATGGCACGGCTGGGAAGATACTGCAGCACAGGGATGAAGTCAGCAGGGTTGCCAGAAGCAGCCACTTCCACAAACTGTTCGCTTAGATTCACTATGCTGAGCAGCTCTTGGTCATTGTGGTCGTACCGTCGGCCAAAGCATATGGCGCAGATGACATTAGCCACAGAGACCACCAGGTACCGGTAAGGGTCAAAGCTTTTCTGCTCTTCCATCACCTGCAGGAACTTGGTGACCAGGTAGTCGGCCTCCTTGGAGACGTGCTCCTCCAGGAGGCAGATGGAGGAGGAGGTTGGGCTGGAGGTAGTGGAAAAGGTATTCAGGGCGTTCTGGGCCAGCTTTCTGCGGGCTTTCCACACCTCCCCTGAGTCATGGCTGAAGGCCAGGCTCTGGCCATCGGTGACATAGCGGAAGCTGTGGAGGTCAGGGCGCCCCATGAAGTCCTCTCCTTGCTTCACCAGCGCTTGCTTGATGGTGTCAAGCCCGCTCAGCACCAGCACGCGCCGTGTGCCGATGCTGATCTCCATCACGTCTCCGTACTGCTGGCTCAGCTTGGCCAGCACCAAGTGCGGGTCCTTCCTCAGCTGCAGTACGCTGCCGAGGATGGGGAGGCCTCTGGGTCCCGGGGGGCTCTTCAGCCCCTTGGGCACGTGTTGCTTGAAGGACTGGATGAGCAGGAAGACCAGGCAGAAGACGGCAGCTGCGATGAGGATCTCGGTGGCCAAGAGAATGCCTTGACTTCCCACCAGCGACATGGCAGCGTTTTTTGTTGGTTTTTTTTTTTTTTTTGCTGCCAATACTTAGAAGTCCTAAAGAAGTTAACCAGAAGTGTGGCACAGAGCCAGAGTTAGCAAGAGATAAAGTCCAGCAGAAGCCTTTCGTTCCTCATGCTAAGGAGAGGCACCAAGTGCTATTAAACAGTTAAGGGCAATTAAGCAAACAAGTCTTAATAATTAAAATCTCTACATAATGTTGCTGAAGCTCTTGTTCTCCCAAGTTCTTTCACAGAGATGACAGGACATGTAAACATAGAAATCACCCTCCTTTCCTTCCCCTCTCTAGAGCTCCTTCATTGAGTGACTTGGAGGGCTATCTGCCTCCAGCTCCAAACGTTTATGTCACTTAAGCCCCCTCTGAAGCCCATGATTTACCCTTCCCTGTAGCCTGCAAGGTCAAGGACAAATTAGCTCTGCCATAATGTGATGGAAGATAGGGGTTCTGTGATGCTGTTGACTTTAGCAGGTCTGGATTTTCTTAGGCTGAGCGAGTTCTGCATTACTTCCAGGATCCCAACACCTGCAGCAGCAGCCACAGCTCCTGCCCGGATGAGGTGGCATCTGGCACATGGAATCGTAGAATCATAGAATACTTAAGGTTGGAAGGGACTTCTAGAGGTCATCTAGTCCAACCCCCCTGTACACACAGGGTCACTTAGAGCATGTGGCACAGGACTGCGTCCAAGCGGGTTTTGAAGATCTCCAAAGAAGGAGACTCCACAACATGGGACAGAAAGCTGCAGCCCCAAAAGTGCAGGGATGGGGAGACAGCAACTCCCCATCAGCAAAGAAGCTAGTCCCGTGTCCAGCAAAGAAGCTGGTCCTGTGTCCAGCAAAAATATATCTTTGGGAGGGGGTAAAGCCAGACTGGAGGCACCCAAGCTCTTGGTGAGCTCCTACCTGCAGGTCCTCTCAGGGGAAAGGACTGGTTTTACCGTGTGTGGCTGTCTACCTGTCCTGTAGAGTGGCCTGGATCCTCTTCTGCCCCTGGGTCTTCTTGTCCTGCAGCCTGGAAGACCATGGCTTTATATACACAACCCTTATAACGTGGCCAGCCGCTTATCCCTGTGGGATTAGGAAACAACGGAAGAGTAGCTATCCATTAACAAAAAGGATGAGCCCAGCTGGAGCTGGCCCAGGAAAGCTGGGCAGATACTGGCCCGGGTCCAGCAGCTCTAAGAGATGACGAGGGGTTTCTCTGGCCACCCCATATGTCCCCGCTGTGGAGCCCAGGATGGGGACATAGAAGAGGCAGTCATGGTGCTGTCCTGGGAAGGATGGCAACACCTTCCTGCCTTGTGTGGATCTAGCCCTTCTGTAGGAATCTCCCCAAAGACCTTTCCTGGGGTGAAAAGACCCTTTTTTGGAGTGAAACAGCCCTCATACAGGGCTGCTAACTCCAGCTTTGTGCTGGAGAAACTTGGAGGTACAGACAAAGCTGCTCAGATGGAAAGCGGGGGCCGAGAGGAGGCAGAGGAACAGGGGGGTGGTCTGCAGGGGGTGCAGTGCAGCACCCAGCCCTCCTCCCCAGCACCCCTCCATCTCCCCCCGGCCACCTGCCAGCAGGTTAGCGATTGCCCGGGTTTGCGTGAGAAGCTGCCTGCTGAATTTCACCACTCGCCAGCCTCCGAGGCCGCATCGGGAGGACCTGGGTGCAGGGAGGCTGCGCGGGGAGGAAAGTTCAAGGAAAGCCGGGAGGGGGCAGCAGAGGGGGAGAAGGAGGCAGGGGAGAGGGCAGCTCCTTGGGCGCCTCGTGTCTTGCAGCCCACGAGGACTGTGCTGGGCAAGGGGTCCTGCTGCCCCTGTTTTCCACCTTGCCCGAGGTCTTTCCTCCAACTATGCAATGTTTGCACCTGTGCTTTGGACCTGGCTACTTAAAATGAGGTTGTGGCCACCAAGAAATGTGGTGTGAGGTCCCACTATCCAGGGAACTTTATTAAAGAGGCTTCTCTTGCCTTTCTGCCTTCAAAGCCAACCCCAAGCTAAAGGAACACGGCAGAAATGAACTTTGCAGGTAAAGGAGGGCAAGGAAATGGCCAATCCATGTCCCCTTACCTACATGCTCCTTGCTCTGCTGGGAGCACTGCAAGTTGATCTGGAGCAGAGCAATGCTCTCCGCTTGGCTTCCTCCCTCCCTCGCTCACCCCTGCCTCCCTCCTCGGGCTGTTTCCGAGCGCGGCACGAGGGTGTGTGTCCGGCGGCGGCGCTGGGAGCGGGGCTGCCCACGCGGGCACGGGCCCAGGCGGGTGGCAGGAGCTGTGGCCCGGGCACGGAGGCGGCCGGGTTAACGATTGCCCAGGCTTGCGTGAGAAGGCGGCTGGCGCTGGGGCAAACGGGCAGCGAGCGCCAGCAGGGGCGGCCGGCGGGGCAGAGGGTGGCCCGCAAGATAGCAGAGGTGAAAGGGGCAGCACGGGGCAAGGCTAGGGGAGGTCACCCTCTCAGACGTCCCCTTCCAAGCCACGAGGGATGAGACAGAGCCCAAGCTTCAGCCCCGCTTTTTGCATGGTCTTTTTGGAAGCAGCAGAGAGCGAAGCGGGAGTTTTGCTGAGCTGATATTTCGTAAACACTTTCGACATCTGCTCTAATTGGGATGCTTGATGGCAGCGCCCATGCGCATTAGTGTTCGGCACGAGCTATTGCCCAATGCTGGCAGCTCGTGCTCCTTGTAGCAATTGCAGAGCTCCTGCCTTGGGCAGATGCACCAGCCCAATGCGGGTACAGGGAACCAGGGCTACAGAGGGTCCTGGTGCCCATCCCAGGGCGCTCCTTGAGCCCCGTTGTGCCGGGTGCCAGCGGGAGCCGCTGCCAAGCCGTGGAGGGCAGGGTGCCTCCTGGCACGGGCACCCGCTGAGTGCAGCATTCTGCGCTGCCGCCTTGCGTGCCAGCCCTGCTTCACACCCCAAACACATCCCCGCCGGCCCGGCTGCCGCCTCTCGCTGCGCTGCCGCCGGGGCACGGCAGCTCACCCTCGCCGTGCGAGGAGCTGAGCATGTGGCGCTCTGCCAGAGCCTCGACCCGTGCACACACGCGTGCCCCGTGTGGCGCACACTCCTGTGAGCGTGCAAGGACGAGGCTGTCTGTGCACGAGTGCATGCACAGGCGCACCCATGAGCACGCACACTCTCTGCACGTGCCTGAGGACCGCGTGTGACGTTTGCACACGCGGGAGGGCATGTGAGTGTCCGAGTGTGTCCGGCAGAAGGGAGCACTGCTGGGGACTGGATGGCTGGCTGACCCCGGGGATGGGGGCCGAGCACCGGGTGCCACTAGGACAACCCACACACAGGGGTGCACACGAGCTGGATGCAGTGTCCCCAAATGGGGACGGGGCTGCAGATGGAGGACTCGGCTCCGGGGCGGCCGGGGCAGCAGGGTCATGCTCTGGTGTGTGTGTGTCTGTGTGTGTGTCCCGCCCCAAGGGGGACTTCAGCGCTGGGGCGGCCCCAAGGCCCCCCCAGCCCGACGTGGGGCGCGGGAGCTGCCAGTGCCCGGCGCCGCGCTGACCCCGGCGCGGGCTGCTCCGCTGCGACCGCCGCCCTTGTCCCTTTAAAAGCCATTTCCCCCCCACCCATAGCGTGACTGCGAGTGACCGGGGCGGCCCGGGTCAGCCCGGAGAGTTTGGCCATCCCCGCCCTTCTCACGCGATGGCCCCGCGGTCACCAGTCCCGAGGCGGTGGGGACCCCCCTCGCCCCTCCTCTTCGGCTCTGGCACCAGCCCGGCGCTTGGGGACAAATTTGGGCGGCCGCAGGCCCCCTTTTGGCAGGTCTCAGCTGCTGGCCCTACATCACAGCCTGTCCTCCCTCCCGGGACATCCTTCGCCCTCCACCCCGACATCCCGGCGCTTCCCCAGCTCCGCTCTGTCCCCGCGGGAACACGGCGGAGCCGCTTGTCACGCCAGCCGGGGCAATGCTTTAACGGAGCCGGGCAGGGGGACATGGTGGCCCCGCGGCTCTGTGCTCCAAAACCCGGGAGCAAGACGAGGTGGCAGCGGATGGAGGAGACAGCAGCCCGTTGTCCCCGCTGCGGGCTGTCCGCAGCCAGGCGCGCTCTGGCCGCACTGCCCCGCTGTCCCTGCACATCCCGTCGAAGCCTCTGAGCCGCGTTCAGGCTTTGGGCTGAGCTCTCCAGCCGCTCGAGGGGGCGAACGGAGCCGATCAAGCCCTTCCCCGGATCGGGGGGTAGCTCGGAGCGGGAGGGGACTGGGCTCAACCCCAACACCTGCAGCCGGAGCTGCGGTCGGTGCCACAGGCGGGCAGAGCGGCTGGTCTCGATGCTCCCAACGGGACTTCGGGGACGTGCCTGGCGTACTAGGTGCCCCCCGGTCCCTGCAACCCCGTCGGGACGGT